AATTTAGATTCTGTTGATTCCATAAAGATATTATTATGAATATAATCTACTTGTGATTTTGTATACTAAGAACCTACATGTTGCACTATTCATTATAGGACCAAGATAAATACATGCTATGGTTTTTGGTGCAAGTGTAGTGCTCTTAGAAATAAATACTTGCACCTTAGAAAAGCAACCCTACACTTCATCCTTTTATAGGAGGGTAGTATCCATTTCTACAGAGCATAGGGTGACTGATGCATTGATGAGTACATAAATGACAAAGAAAAGGGATATGACCAGAGGTAATGTAACAAAGTAATTAAATCAAGGATAAAGTACTTAAACACCACCAAGATTAATGAAATTGGCGAAGGTTGATGTTAATAGTGATAAAGCAAAAACACCACACTAACAACAATCAAGAATCGAATCCTTTCATGTGTAAACACTCACAATCAGCTTCATAAGATATTGTAAATTCATTATTCAAAAGATGCATTTTCTGCTATAACTTGGAGCTCTTTATACAGGCTGGAAAATAAAAAGAACATACTATCAAAACGAAAAGATTAAAGGAAGACTAAAATTTGCAAAAGCAATTAAAAGACAATTAAGTAAGCATTAAAAACATTAATGAGGTTGATTAGGAAGACTTAAACTCCATTAGGCTGTCAGAAAATTATATTTCTCCTTTTAACTATTTGAACCCAAAATAAGAATTTAACTGAACCCCAAGGTGAGTTGGAGACATGAAATGGGGTGGTTTGGTACTCGCTAATAATGGTGTGGATTCCCTGCATCAACCTCCTCTTCCTCTGGTTAGGAAGGATTTGCCCTTAAATCATCCAATATACCATTTTCAAGATAAGGAGAAAGATCTCCAACGATGATAGTTGTTGATATGTTTGAATAACCCGGTAACTCTAGTTTGTAAGAATTATCAACAATCCTTTCCAACACCTTAAATGGTCAATCTCCTATTTCTATTAGCTTATTTTTCCTCTTTGAAGGAAATCCACATTTCCTTCCTTAGGTGCAACCATACTAAATTTCGAGGTTCAACAAGAGTCTTCTTGCGATGCTTGTTGGCTTTTTCTTATACAAGTCATTGACATGCTCAATCTTTTCCTTGACTTGCTCATGAATCTTCCGCATTTCCTTGGCTAGAGTTGATGCCTCAAAGTGAACTTCACTACCCTTAGGCAGTTGTATCAGATCAATAGGGGTGAGAGGATTCACTCCATAATTCACTTCAAATGGTGAACATCAAATGGAATAAGTTGGAGATTGGTTATAAGAAAACTCAACAAAAGAAATTCAAATGGTGAACATAAAATGGAATAAGTTGGAGATTGGTTATAAGAAAACTCAACAAAAGAAATTTTAACATCCTAATCTTTCAAGGACTTTCCCACCATACTTCTTAGCACAGTTGTAAGTGTTAGATTGGTTACTTCTGTTTGTTCATCCGTTTGCGGATGATAGGTAGTGTTAAATAATAACTTTGTGCCTAATAACTTCCATAAAGATTTCTAGAAGTAGCTGAAGAATTTAACATCTTTGTTAGAAACTACGGTTTTAGGGACTCCTTGAAGACGTATAATCTCTTTAAAGAATAGATCAACAACATGAATGACATCATCTATTTTGAGACACATAACAAAGTGCATCATTTTGGAGAAACAATCCACCACAACCATGATAACATATTTCTCATGTTGCCTATGAGGAAATGCCACCATGAAATCCATAGAAATATCTTCCCATGGTTGGGAAGGAATAAGTAATCGAGTATACAAGACTTGATGAAACTTGTTTTTAGCTTGATGACATGTTGCACATCTAACAATAAGAGTGGTAACATCACTTTCCATATGTGGCCAATAGAAATGTTCTTGTAATCTATGCTATCAATAGCACGTTATAGCGGTGCTATAGCGTTTTGCGGTGGTACCGAAACACTATTTTAAAATAGCGTTAGTGCTATTAACCACTATTTACCATTAACCCCATCAACGATATAGTAACGTTACACCTGCTTTTACAATTTCGTACACATTTGGCTACTTTGACAAAGAAAAAAACCGATTGTAGGCTATTTCAATAATAAATCTTTAATTTTTTAATTACTCTACTATACTTTTTGTTTTAATAAGTCCAAATAATAAATCTAATTAATTACAAACTACAAAGCAACGAATGACAATTTCTCTTTCTCGTCTGTTTCGGTACTTAGAAACCACGAACGACTTGAGCTGCAATGACACTCATACTTTTTAGTTTCCATATTACTATATTAGAATATTATATATGGTTTATGTTATGTTTTTATGACTTTTTACTATATTAAGTCTATATAGTATTAATAATCTAATATATAAATTTAATATAAATATAATATAAATTATACATAATATTAAAAGTCACTATATCATTGTTATGCAAACACGATAACCATGATATCAAATAGTGGTCTGTGACCGCTATTGAAATTTCGATCGCAATAACTGCTTAGCTTGTAATACACCAAGGGATTTGTTGATGCCAAAATGACCAGCTAATCCTCCTTTGCGAGCCTATCTAATTAGCAACTCCATTATGGTTCCTTTAGAAATGCAAAGTTCTTGTTCTTGAAAAGAAACTCGTCTTGGATGAAATAAGAACCACAAGCTCGATCTTTGTACTCTTGAATAACTTTAGAAAAATCTAGATCATTTAAGTACAATTCTTTAATGAAAGAAAAGCCTAATACCTAAGAACATTAAGCATGGTATATCTCCTCAAGAGAGAATCTGTAACAATGTTATAACTTCTTGTTTCATACTTAGAAACAAAGTTAAATGATTGGAGAAATTCTACCCATTTTGCATGTCTTAGGTTCAACTTGTTTGGCCATTGATATGCTTGAAATTTTGATGATCAGAATGTAAAACAAATTGTTTATGCCTCAAGTAATGATTCCAATGATCTAGAACATGCACAATAACAAAAAACTCTTTGTCATACGTACAATAGTTCTTTGTTTCATTCAATTTCTCACTGAAATAAGTTATAAAACGTTTATTTTGTACCAAAACAACCTTTATATCGACTCTGCTTGCATCACATTCAACCTCAAACAATTGGTTGAAATCTGGAAGGGTCACGACAAGCGACATGCACAAACATTCTTTGACTTTCTCGAATGATTCCGGACAGATCGAGTCCATTCAAAAGAGCCTTGTTTGATACACTCCGTGAGGGGTGCAACACTAGTGCTGAAATTCTTGACAAACCTCGTGTAAAATGAAGCAATGCCATGGAGGCTCTTTATCTCTATTGGACTCGTGAGTACTTATTGTTGCCGCCTTTGATTCATCCACCGTAATTCCATTATTAAATACAACATAACCGAGAAAGGTCACTTTTGGAGAAAATAATTCATAATTCTCCAACTTCCATAAAGTTTCTGACTTATCACTTCAAATACTCTTCTTAAATGTTAAGTGTGCTCTTCTACACCTTCGTTGTACACAAGTATACCATCAAAGTATACAACAACGAAATCACCAAAAAAAGGTCTAAGAACCCCATTCATCAACCGTATAAAAGTACAATGAACATTGGAAAGTCCAAATGGCATTACCAAGCATTCGAACAAACTAACTTTTGTTTTAAATACGGTTTTCCATTCATCTCCTTCACACATTCGGATCTAGTGATATCCATTCCAAAGATCATTGTTCGAGAACAAATTGGCGCCATGAAGTTCGTCCAGCATATCATCCAATCTTGGAATATGATAGCGATATTTGACCGTGATATTATTGATGGCTCTACTGTCAACGCACATTCTCATATTCCCATCTTTTTTTGGAAACAACAAACCTACAATAGAACAAGGACGCATACTTTCACGCGATAAACACTGGCAATGAGCTATTGGACTTGAAGTTGTAGTTCTCGAGTCTTTTCGGGATTACATGGGTAGGCTGGTAATTGGTTTGTTAGGAAGCGATGACATTAGGATTAGATCGATATGATGTTTATAAGTGGAGGTAACTATGGAGGTAAATTTGAAGGGAAAACATCTTTAAACTCCTCTAGAAGCGGACGAATAGTCGCAGGCAAAGGAACATCGGCGAACTTGTTTTCAAGTGGCAATAACACGTAGAAACGTTTATCTTTTCAAATAGCTCCCTCCATTCGTGCTTTAGTGATAAATAGATTTTTCTCCACTTGAGTAACCAGCCCCAGTTGTTTCAACTTTCTTTTGCAGTAAGACAAATGGTAGTGGTTTGAGGATTACCTTCTTGTTATTAATCACAAAAGAGTAGGTGTTTTGATGACCATAGTGCCAAACTTTTCTATCATATTGCCAAGGTCTTCCAAGCAACATATGGTCAAGTTTGGGACTTGAATATCATAATTAAGGGTGGTTTTGGGCTAATTGTTTGTTACCCTAGTTTTGTCAAATGTTATAATATTGAGGTTGCAATCTAATCTTGGAATCTATATGTTACCGCTATATATGGTTTAGTTTGGGACTTATCCTTCCTTGGCATCAGAAAAACTGAATAGTCGATTGTTTCAAGAGTTTAATTTTGGGCTAATTGCAGAAAAATATAAGCAACTTTGGTAACAAACTTCCAGTTTACTGTACTTTGGGTGATTGTTGAAAAAGGTTTCTTTAGAATACCCAAATCTCGATTAGCTAGGTCTTTGGTTTCATGTGTAATGTAATCCAATCTGATTGATATCCGTATCTGGCTATCTGCAATACCAATATTCCAAAAGATCAAGATGACATATCATGAGCCTACCAATCTCCGTGTTATCTGCATGCATAGACAAAGAAAAGTATGCATTCATGTTATCATTAGTCAATAGTAAAGTAGATGTTGATTTGGCAACGACGTTATCTGGCAACAACTGATCATCAAAATAGAAAACTGGAAGTTGGTTACCTTTCTATATATATGCAATTTGCCTTTTTTTCTTCTTTTTTTCTTTTTTAAAGTGGCAAATGGACTTAAATGGTTGGTTATGGTCTGACTAGCTATTGTTCAGTGTGGACGCTATCGTTTCCAGGTATCATAAAAGCTGCCCTCAGGCAGAAGAGAGACCCACCCAAGATACGGCAAGTAATTTGTGTTGTATATATAACTTTGTGTTCAACCCTGATCATAACACTAAAATTTTTCATTACACAGGGAATTAACACCAGATTCAAAACATGCAACGAGCTTCTAGAGTCAGTAAAAAGGTATACGTATCATGCTTGCACTATATATATGTCTATTATGGAAGTTAATACCAGAGCTTGACAGAGTTGATGAACAAGGGAATGATGTCACTGTGAGTGACATGATAGAGTTAGAGAAGGAACTTAATGCTGCTCTTATGCATACACGTTCTAGAAAGGTAGGTGTGATCTTAGCATTTGTTTTTTGTTTTCTTTTGTTGTTCTATGTATGAATACGATGCTCTGTTCTCTGCTCTCTTTATATTGGAAATTAAGTTACGAAAACAGAATTGATCTTTGAATAACAAGTTATAAAATTGGTTATGTATCTTAGTTATCGAGTCTCCGTAGATTGACACTAACTAAGCTTTGTTTGCACAGACACAGTTAATGATGGAGCGCATATCAAGCCTTCATGAACAGGTATATATTCATGTAACAATTTAACCCTGATACCTGTTACAAGTTCATGTATTATATTGTTTTCACCTCATCACACTAAGCTTTACTTAACTACTTTTGTTGGTATCTAACATTTATATTCTTGGAGTTAGTGTTGCGCAGGAAAAGAAATTAAGCGACGAGAATAAAGAACTGAATCGGCAGTTGGCGTCTTCTAGGAAGGGAAAGCACAACTATCATAAGCAAGCCCTAAGAGAGAGAGCTTAACCATGAAGAAATCTCCCTAACCTCCACGGCCACATTTTTTAATTATATTGGTCACCGGCTATTATAAAGAAGTTTTCTTGGAGAATGGGTATTCGACCTAATCCATAAAAGAACAATTACACTTATCATAACAATGGTATTTTTCACTACGTGAAAAATGAAGATTTTTATAAATGGCATCACATAGTCTATATATTACTAGCTCCATGTGTCGATAATTTGCATTATCAGTAGAGGTAATGTGTGTTGTTTGTTGTTTGTGTTCAACGTTTTAGATAGGTTTTAGAATATCATTAAGAGCAATTAAATATCTTCTTACATTTTGTTCTTACAAATCCTCCTACCTAATTTATTAGTGATATTCGTAACATTTAATGTTCATTTAATGATATTTTAGTATATTAATATGACAGATGCCATCATTTTATTGGGTAAGAAGCTTTGTAGGAACAAAATTAATATATATATATATATATATATATATATATATATATATATATATATATATATATATATATATAACAAAAAGTTATATCTCATGTCTATAGATTTATAGATATATTATCCTATTAGAGTATCTAATTTAAAATGTATTTTCTCAATCGAATCAGAATAAATTATACCGTCAAAAATGTTTTATAATATTTCTATTTATATTAGTAGGAAATAAAATATAATAATACCGTACCATTAACTAAGCAAATTATTTTAAGTTTTTCTTAATAGAATTACATTAGAGACTTAATGAGTAATTTTAAAGAAATTGAGTAATTAAATCACAATGTAAGATGTATTTGAAGAAAATAACCAAAAAAAATGTTTTTAATGTAGAATGAGACTGAAAAAAAAAGATAAAAAAGTACATTTCAGACTATTATTTAGGATTCCAAACAATTTTTTTTTTGGATATTGGAAAAAAAAAGACTCTAGAATTTCAAAAACAAATCCAAATTCCAATTAATAATTCTGGAATTTAAAAAAAATATATTTTTATCAAAATGTAACAAAAAGTTAAATAAACACAATAAATTGGAAATATATATGATAATATAACTTAAAATCAGATATTTGATTGAAAAACGTTATATTAAACATTTCAAAATGAACATTTTAGGGAATAGGACTTGTTAAGATAATTAACTTTTCGGGTTGTTCACATATAGGTAACTATTTTTTTTTTGTACACATCTAGGTAACAAACTTTTTGGAACTGTTTACATATGACCATTATGACCTGCTGTAGCAGGTTACATCCAGTTACAGCAGGTCATAATGGTTATATGTGAACAGTTTCATCAAGTTCGTTACCTACATGTGTACAAAAAAAATAGTTACCTAAATATGAACAAAACCAAAAGTAAGAGTAAATTACATGAATGATCCATATGGTTTGGGGGAATATGTACATTTGGTCCCTAACTTATTTTTTTTACTCGGATGGTCTCTACTGTTTATTTTTGTTACGTGCTTAGTCACTGTGTTACCTAAAAAGACTATTATGCCCTTATTAATTAATTTTTTTAATTAATTTTCTTATTTATGTTTTTTTAATATGTTTAAAAAAATTTATAGACCCCACATATCTGTATCTTCTCACCGTAAACCTGAAACCACATTTGAGAAATTTAATTTGGGTCCCACCGATCACCATCCCATCTCGCATCTTCTTCAACCTCTATTTTCTTTCAATCTTTAGTGACATGGAAGTCTTCACCATCCTTTTTTTTGTCCTTCAACTCTAGCGAACAAACACCATAACTCACTGTCTCTTCACTTTATTGGGTTGTGGTGTTGGTTCGTTAGAGTTGAAGGACCGAAAAAGAATAGATGGTGAAGACTTCGTTGTCATTAAAGATGAAAAAGAAATAGAAGTTAAAGATGATGAAAGATGGGATGGTGAGGAAATACAAATATGTGAGGTCTATTAGTTTTTTTAAACATATAAAAATACATAAATAAAAAAATTAATTAAAAAAAATTAAATTAATAAGGACACACTAATCCAACAATGATTCATCAGTTTCAACTTGTTATAGTTGCTATAGTAGGCTTATATGGTCGTGCTACGTGTTTTGGTTCCACTTAGGGTATCGATTTGGCTGATAATACTATAAATTGATAAGGATTTTAAATGAAACAAATTGGATGCAATAAAAGATTTTATTTATCTTAATTTGATTTTGTTTTTGATGCTTAATTGTGGATATACGACTGATAAGAAATGGAGATATGGTTATTTTATATCGATATTTGGTAATTATTATTTTTTTGAGAAAATTCGAAGTCGTTGTACTGATGCACTAAGTCGTAAGGAAAGAAAAGAACCACCTAAGATTCGAATGATGAAGATTAGGGTAACCACCAGCTTACTAGGTGATTTGAGAAAGAGTCAGGAGGAGACGTCGAAGGAAGAGAAGTGGAAAAGTGAAGGAGTGGTGGGAGTAATACAATCATTGGAAAAGGATAGTCGTGGCTTGAAGTGTTTCCAAGGAAGGGTTTGGGTACCACGAGTGGGTGAAGTGTGTAACCTACTTATCAAGGAAGCGCACCTGTCAAAGAACTCAATCCATCCGGGAACAAACAAGATGTATCAAGACCTACGGAAATCTTATCGGTGGCCAGGGATGAAAAATGATATAGCCTATTTTGTTGAAAGGTTTTTGACGTACTTGAAGGTGAAGGCTAAACACCAAAGGCCATACGGTCAGTTACAGTCAATGGAGATTCCAGTGTGGAAATGGGATCACATCACAATGGACTTTGTGACTAAGTTACCAAGGAAACCAAAAGGTTATGATGCGATTTGGGTAATTGTGGATAGATTAACCAAATCGGCGCACTTCCTTCCGATTAAGGAGACGTACCCATTAGAAAGGCTAGCTAAATTATACGTTGACGAGATAGTGAAATTGCATGGAGTTCCATTATCTATTATTTCAGATCGGGATAGTCGCTTTACGTCGACATTTTGGGGTAGCTTCCAACGAGAAATGGGTACTCGAGTAAAATTGAGCACGACATATCACCCCCAAACAGATGGGCAAAGTGAACGAACAATACAGACCTTGGAAGATATGTTACGGTCTTGTGTTATTGATTTTGGAGGGTCTTGGGAAACTCATTTGTCGTTAATTGAGTTTGTCTACAACAATAGCTATCATGTAAGTATAAAAGTCGCACCATATGAGGCTCTATATGGCAGGAAATGTAGAACTCCATTATGTTGGAATGAGGTGGGGGAGAAACAGTTGGCCGGACTTGAACTTGTTCCGCAAACTACCGACAAAATCCAGGTGATTAGGGATAACATTAAGGTTGCTCAGGATCGGCAGAAAAGTTATGCAGATAAGCGGAGAAAGCCAATAGTGTTTCAGGTTGGTGATAAAGTTATGTTAAAGGTGTCCCCATGGAAGGGCGTTGTACGTTTTGGTAAGCGGGGGAAGTTAAGTCCTCGCTACGTTGGACCCTTTATAATTAAGGAACGAGTTGGAGAGGTGGCTTATCGATTGGAGCTACCAAGGGAAATGCAGGGGATTCATAGCACGTTCCATGTCTCTAATCTAAAGAAGTGTCTGGTGGATGCCGCCATGGAAGTGCCACTTCAAGAAATTAAGGTTGATGAGAAGCTGCGATATACAGAAGAACCTGTCACAATTATAGATCGAAAAGTCAGAAAGTTAAGAAATGTGGAGATACCATTGGTGAAAGTTCAGTGGAAGTATTATAAAGGTTCAGATGCAACATGGGAAAGCGAGCGAGATATGAAGACTAAATACCCTCATTTGTTTGCTTAATTCAAATTCCGAGGATGGAATTCCTTTAAGGAGGGAAGTTTGTGATAACTTAAATTTAGGATATAAAAATGTTTATGTAATTAGATTACATCATTATAATAATATGATTAAATCATGGAATAATGAGGTAATTAGTAGAGAATTATGGGGATTAATGGCAAAAACCATCATTCTTCAATATGATTGTAAATTTGAGCAAACGAGAGGACTCCTTCAGTTTTTGAGTTAGACATTATATATAGCTTGTGAAATCGAGTGAGAAACACACGGGAACTACAAAAAAGACGAGGAATCGACAAAGAAACGCGGTGTGCAAGTTTTTGAAGATTTTCGGAGTGCCTCTAGAAATTAAGGTATGATTGTTGGGTTATGAGCATTCTAACACTCCTAAGTGTACATGTAACCCTAAATACCTTGGATCTATGTTTTCTCTATTATACATGCAAATATGAACATCCAAGGTATTATCCTAATCTAGCATACAAAACAATAGATATAACAAGATAGAATACATACCTTTTTCATGTAGAAAGTCTTCATGAAGCTTGAGTTCCTAGTGCCCCAAGTGTGACACCTCAAATGGTTTACACAACACCAAATACACTTGGAATAACTTGAGAGAATTCTACACTTCATGAAATCGGCTAGCCCTCTCTAGAATGATACTAGTGCCGATTTTGTCAAGAATAAGATCTTTATATAGTGTTACAATTAGGGTAAACCCTAATTGTCATGACTTTCCATTTTCTTGGATCCATGGGTTCAAAAACACCATGGAGCATCCATAAAACATCATATAGGTTTTAGCCCAACTAGATAATCCTTGGAGCATTATCCCACTATATAAGTATGGATGATTTGTACAATCAACCCATATATTTAATTAGTCTTCTTTTGATCACTTAATTAATCCTAGATTAATTCTTGATCAATACTAATTAAATAATCTTATTATTCTTATTATTAATATACTAGAACTTATAATATATTAATAACCATAAGTGTCTTATTTTCTCATTATAGTCTATCCAAGTGCATGATGCCATGCAACCCAAATGGACCATGCCGGGTCGGGTCAAGTCTTACCAATTATAGTTATGGACTTAGACATTAATCCAACAGTCTCCCACTTGGATAAGTCTAAAACTATTATTGCGTATGACTTCAAGAACCGACTGGCAATCGTAGCTCTCAAAAGCTTCTGTC